ACTTAAGCACAGCCTATCTTGCCCATCCATTCACATCCCTCCCATCTTTGCTGACTTTTAACCTTGCTGCATTTGACTTCTGCCTCCCCAAATTAAGACCCCTGCCAGCCTTGCTTCCCACTGCCTGTCTAGCAACCCTCCCAGCCCTGCCTTCCCTGACTGAGGGACACTTTTTCTATTAAATATGATTCACATAAATCCCAGGTTTGGCAAATGCACAGCTAAAGCAAATGGCTAGATTACAGAAGGTCCAATTGCTTGTTCATACATTTGATGCTCAGAATACCCTCATATAGAGAAATCTTCCTCCACTGTGTGTAAAAATTGTAATGGGCCAGAGAGAAAGAGAAAGAGAGGCAAATGCACAGCTAAAGCAAATGGCTAGATTACAGAAGGTCCAATTGCTTGTTCATACATTTGATGCTCAGAATACCCTCATATAGAGAAATCTTCCTCCACTGTGTGTAAAAATTGTAATGGGCCGGAGAGAAAGAGAAAGAGAAAGAGAGAGAGAGAGAGAGAGAGAGAGAGAGAGAGAGAGAGAGATATTGTTTTAGAAGAGAGTATTTTCATATCCCACTGCTCAAACAGCTGCGTAGAAAGAGCTCTAGGTTCCATTTTGCCCTGGGAGCCTGTGCCCTACTGACTCTGAGAATTTGGAAAATGGATTGAGCCTCCTTGAGACTCAGTGTCCTCGTTCATATGCCTTCCTCATAGGCTTCTAATGAGAATGAGTTGAGATCATGTATGTGAAGCAATTAGCATAAAGCATGGCACAGAGTAAGGCTTTGGTGGGGTAGGCCTGTGACACTGAGCTTCTGCTTCTTCTAAACAAGGTGTGACAGTGACTGTTTCTGTCCTTCAGGAACTTTGAAATGTGATACAAATCCTTTCTCATTTATATATATTGTAAATATCTTTACCTGGTCTATATCTTGTCTTTTGACTTTCCTTGTAGATACTGTTTTTGACTAAATGGTAACTGTTAATAGTTTACAACTCCATCCTTCTCAAAAGGATAATAGATCTTGGGCAACAGATCTGCCTCACCCAAATCCTACAGCCAATAACTGACTCTTACTATACAGATATGAGATACTGGCCCACTTCCCTCAAGGCAGTGCAGCTAAAACCGCAACCTTGCTCAGCTCCTTCTCTACCCTATACTGCCTTCCTCATCTCCCTCCAGTTTCCTTCTGAGAGCATGTACTCAATCAATCACTTGTACAAAATTCTCTATCTTAGGTCTTGCTTCTAGGAAATCCAACTTAAGATACTTTCTTTGAGATAGTATATTTTCTGATGAACATTTCTAATTTTAATATAGTCAAATTTCAATCTTTTATGGATTTCATTTCATTATTACCCTTTTATTATTATAGATGAGAGCAGAATACATCTTCAGTCTACAGTGAAAATATATACCAAAAAAATTAATATCTACCAACAGGAGTTGGGAAAGACCTCTGAGACTTTTAGAGGCAGTGAAACTAAAAGAACAAATATTTTCTAGTTGAGAAAGGTGGATAATTCATGGTGTTTCCATATTGAGGAAACACCTTTTGCAAAAGCACAGACTGTAAACCAGCATAGACTACTTTAGAATCTATGGCACACAAAAATGTGACAGCAGGTAAGAACTCAGAAGTAGACAGGGGTCTATTTATAAAGGCCTTTTTTATAGAGCACCTTAATTACCACCCTGTGTCTCCAAGCACACTCCCGTTCCCTTTGCAGGGGGCTTCCACTCGTTACTGGTTGAAGGGAATAACATGACCCACCATTGACCATGGTATTCTAGTCCTTTGGACATAGGGATCAGGATAGAAGTGGGCATGTGATACAAACAGGTCCAATGCAATCCTCTCTTGAGATTAGTATAGTTTATAGATGTTGATAGAAAGAAGCCCTTCATTTTTGTTAAAGTTGCTAATCTGGGGTTGAGGACAATCATGTTTCCTGCTGCTTGGAAAACACCTGAACGCAGTAGTAGAAAATAAAGCCTAGATTCACAGAAAAGAGAGAGAGAGAAGAAATGTGAAACTCACATGAAAAAAGTTAGGGTAGCATTGAACTCCCAGTTTCATTACTTGAGTCTCTGTTTCCTTCAGATCTTGAGGTCTTTCTTCAATTCTATTAGCTACCCATATTTCTTCTCAGGAATATAATGTGATCAATGATCATTTTTATTAGAGATTCTGATATTGGGTCTGATATTTTCAACTGAGAGAGAATTAACGAAAGCAGGCAATGACTTAGCCTGATGACAATAGAGAGCCACCAAAGGGCTTTTCTCAGGGAGTATCATGGTTAGACTTGCTTGATGCCCACAAGGTGGGGAGTCTATTCCAGGGGGTCAAGAAATCACAGAAAAGAGAGAGAGAGAAGAAATGTGAAACTCACATGAAAAAAGTTAGGGTAGCATTGAACTCCCAGTTTCATTACTTGAGTCTCTGTTTCCTTCAGATCTTGAGGTCTTTCTTCAATTCTATTAGCTACCCATATTTCTTCTCAGGAATATAATGTTATCAATGATCATTTTTATTAGAGATTCTGATATTGGGTCTGATATTTTCAACTGAGAGAGAATTAACGAAAGCAGGCAATGACTTAGCCTGATGACAATAGAGAGCCACCAAAGGGCTTTTCTCAAGGGAGTATCGTGGTTATATTTGCTTGATGCCCACAAGGTGGGGAGTCTATTCCAGGGGGGTCAAGAAAATAAAGTAAAAGCAAAGATAAAAATAAATGGAACAGGAAACTGATAAAGGATATGGCCTGTATCTTCTTGATCACTATTCCTTTCCACTCTTAAAGTAGTCAGACTCAAATATCTACCTGTGTCAAATGTTTTAATAACACTAAGATTCTTAAAGAAATGTTGACACATATTTTATTTTTAAGAAACAGAAAAAAAACTTTTAAAAACGTGTATTCTTGTTAGCAACAAGTTATTAGAGACCATTATAAAAATTCAGAAAAATTTAAAAGTTTTAAGAAAATTAAAATCACCTATAACCCCAACAATGAAAGAAAAATAGTTAAAAATGTACTACTGTCTAATCCTCCAGGCTCATAGAAATGTGGAGGTCTTGTTTTACAAAATACAATTTAATTTATCCCATTTTAACCAAATATTATACCATAAATAATGTTCTATATAAAATATATTTTGAATATGTGATTGCTACCTTTCATAGTGTGGATGTATTATATTGCTGTAACCATTAGTCTGTCTTCTGGAGACTTTGGCTGCTTCCAATTTTCATAATTTTAAAGAATGCTGCCATAAGTATCCCACATATAGATCCTTTTCTGCACTTTATATTTGGGGTTGGATAAATTCCTAATGGAATTACTGGGACAGAGGTTATATCCATTTTTAAGACACTTTCCACAAGAGAACTTTTCAAATTAGACTATATGCTTTATTGCAGCGGAATATGACAAGTCTGGAATGACAGATGATCCCAATTCCCAGAATTTTGCAGCACTCAAGGTGCAGGGCAATCAGAGTCAGCTGCTCTTCTGCATTGTGCCATCATACGATAGACTGATTTCTCTTCTCCCTCTACAGTGTGTGTTTTTTTTTAAACAATGCAGGGTTTTTTTTCTAAATGTATTTTTATTGATTTCAGAGAGGAAGGGAGATAGAGATAGAAATATCAATGATGAGAGAATTATTGATTGGCTGCCTCCTGCATGCCCCACATGGGATCGAGCTGCAACCCGGGCATGTGCCCTGACTGAGAATCAAACCCTGACCTCCTGGTTCATAGGTCAACACTCAACCACTGAGCTGTGGTGGCCAGGATACAGTGTTTTTGACTGATACAAACTCTTCCAAGATTTCCCCATATGAACAAAATATTCCAAGGAACACAGAACTTAAAGGGCAGGTGAAAGGGGGATACCTGCAATTATGTTAACATTAAAATTTCTTAGTAAAAAATTAAATTATAAAAGGAAACACAGAACTTGAGATTTGGAGTCCCCCCTGAATTTTAAATGTTACTTTGAGGGTGAAGTGGAATTTAGTGTCATTTCTCTTCCTGAAGACAGGAAATGGATTCTACAGTCCTTTTTTAAGAACTAACTATACCAAAACTCTCACACAGGTGACCTCATTTAATCTCCCCAAAGCATTTGAGAATTTGAGCAGTGTATCAGAAAACACGCAGGATTTGCAACCAGCCTCATTTGTGACTTGAAAGGTAAATCCACGTTTCATCAATGAATTGCTTGTTGTGTGCCTTGAATTACCTTCTGCAAGTTATTCATTTCTCTGAGTTAAAGATATCCTATATAATAAAGAGGGAATATGCAAATTGACTGTCATTCTGCCACAAAAGATGGCGGTGCCCACAGTGGAACCAGGGGGTTTCCATAACACAAGATGGCTACACCCACAGTGGAGGCCAAGTTCCCGTAACAAGCTTTAACGAACAATCAGCAGGGACCTGAGGCTGCACCCCCCCCATCTGCCCCCCCCCCCATGGGGCTTGACAGAGGACCTCAGGCTGTGCCCCCTGCCCAGCGCTGGGCCAGGGGATCTGAGGCTGCGACCCCACCCAGCAGGGCTTGACAAGGGTGAGACTGGCCGAGTCTGGATCTAGCCCAATGGGGGTGGGGCCAGCTGGGTCTGGGTCTCTCGCAATTTCAACCCAGGGGACTTGACCCTGGGTCCCATGGTGCACCCCAGACTCTGACAGGAATATTTTCATATACATTTTACTAATTTTCTTTCATCTCTGACACTTCTATTATAGAGAAAGGGCAAATAACAATATTAAAATATTTCCTCTAATTAATCCCCTTTTAATGTGCACGAATTTCATGCACTGGGCCACTAGTTTTATCTATAAAATCATAGGGATATGAATAAATATATTACTGGGTGGATATTTTAAGTAAATGAGAAATGCAGGTAAAGCAATTAGAATAATGCATATCTCTGTCTCAGTCTGGGTCCCCAGGGTCAGAACCTGAGGCATGCTTACGGTTTATTCTCCAAGCGATCTTCAGGAGCAGAGGTGAAGGTTCAGGGAAGAAGGGAAAACTGGTACCAGGATGTTACTGAGTTGGTCACTAGTGCAGATGACTGGTCCTTGATCTTCTGTCCCTGGAGTAATATGAAATGCAACTTAGAACTAGGTTCCAAAGGAAAAAATGGAGAACATTTATTCATCAGCACTTATTCCCCCACTAGCCAAGGACAGCTCTAGGGCACACTTATCCAGGGAGTTCCTGCCGCCATCAGAAAAACTTCAACAAGCTCTATGAGGGGCAAGGGGCAATCTTTTCCTTTTCTTCATCATTTTTCAAATTGTTTATATACTCCTGAAAATATATTGTTTGTATTTTATATAAATGGGATCATGTCAATGAGTTCTTCTGTTATTCAGGAATGCTGATGTATGTTGCTTCAGTTGATTCAGATTTTACTGCTATGCATTAATTACTTGCATTAGTCAACTTCAATGTATTTAGCCACCCTCTTGCTAATGGAGTTGTTTCCTCTGGCATTCGTTGTTGCTGCTTTGTTTTTGCTCCTTTATTGGCTATTACCAACTAATGAACATGTTTGTACTTGACTCTTTGGGCACATGTGCAAGAGTTTCTCTAAAGTATAAATCTGGGAGAGGAATTTCTTATTAGGAAGATAGGTGTATCTTCAAGTTACAAGATAATTCAAAATAATTGTTTCCCAAATAGGTGGTAAAATGTAAATAGTCACCAACAGTAATATGAGTTGTTACATTCTACGCTTTTATCAAAATTTGGTATTAGCAGACTTTAAAATTTATGCCCTTCTAGGAAATACAATATGGTATATTTTATAAAATAGTTAAATGTATAAAACTTTATTTTTGCGGTAGTGCTTTCATGTCTTGTTTATGAAATCTTCTCCTACCCCAAGGTAACATAGATAGTCTCCTATATTCTAAAATTTTATAGTTCTCTTTCAAATTTGAGTCTTTAATCTGAGATTGGTTTTTGTATATAGAGAAATATAAAGCAAACTTATTTTTTTCTAATATAATATACAGTATCATTAATTAAGTAGTCTGTTCTTTACCCAATGACTTGCACTGCATGTTTTGTTACATATTAAGTTTCCATACACTTATGAGTTGGTTTCTGCTATTTCTAATTTAATTGGTTTATTTGTCTGCTCCTAAACTAAAACAACACTATTAATTATTAGTGCTTTATATAAGGATCTTGCTATCCAAGAGGTCATGTTCCCCACTTTCTGCTTTTTTTCCCCTCAAGAGTATGTTGGCTTATTTTAGCTTTTCCTCCTTCATAAAAATTTTAGAATCAATCCATCAAGTTGTTCAAAAGCCTTGGTAAGATTTTCACAAGAGTAAATAAATTTGAGAAAACTTGACAGTTTTAAACTTTTGAATCTTCCTACCCATAAACATCTACACTAATAAAAGGAAAGCATGCAAATTAACCATCACTCCGCCACTCTGCTACACCCACCAGCCAATCAGAGCAACTATGCAAATTTACCCAACAAAAATAGTGGTTAATTTGCATATGCAGGCACAGATTCCGCTCAAGGAGGGGCTGGGGGCCTGGGTCAACAGGGGCGACCCAGGCTTCCAGCCAGCCCTGGCCTTTGCTCGAGGAGCTGGAAGAAAAAAAAAAAGGAGGGGCTGGGAGCAGCCAGAGTGGAGAAGCCAAGCCTCGCTGCTGTGGCCGGACCAAAGGCCTGGGTCCCGGGTGCTAGAGGACAACTGGTGCCGGCAGCCAGGGGAAGGAAGGCCTATTGCATGAATCTTTGTGCAGTGGGCCACCAGTGTTATATATAATGTTCAGTTGTTTTAGATCTCCTTTTATTCTCTTATGTTACATTTTATAATTTTTCCTTTAAGCCTTGAACATATTTTTAGATTTCTTCTTATATGTGTGCATATGTTTAGATAACATTTTGTTATTGTTATATAATTTTTAATGTTAATATTATAACTCATTGGTAAAGCACAGAAAGACAATGAATTTTACAGATGATATTTTGATCAATGCTGGAAAATTTCCTGATAATGTCTAGTAGTTTATAAGTACATTCTTTCCATTTTATAGGGAAACAATCAGTGTATGTGTGAATATTGATGTCAACATTGTGTCTTCCTTTTCTATATTTATGCCTTTTATGTCTTGTTCTTGTCCTGAACTTATAGAAAATCATTGATAAGAAATGGTTATGGTGAACCTTTTTGTCTTGTACATATTTTAACGTTTTTCTATTAAATGTCCCTTAGTTGATATCAAATGGAAAATAAAAATACAATTAACATTGTTTTGAAAAATTGCCATATATTTAAAAATGTAGGTATTTTCTCCTCAAGATTACATTTAATCTTCACCTCAATTCTTGATGTAGGTATTATTACACACTCCTTTGGATGAGGAAACAGGAATTTACAAAGGATAATTAATAGGTTCAGGACTTCACATTTGAATTGCTCTATCTGATAAAGGGAAGAGTCATTGTTAGTGAAATTACATGAGAGATATTAATCTCAGTAAATAGAACGCCTTGGTTTGCAGTAATAAGTGGAGATTTAATGGATGAGGTAGGAGCTACTCTGTGAAGATGAGGCAATGCAGCCCGGCCAGGTGGCGTGGTGGTTGAGTGTCCACCTATAAACCAGGAGGTTGCAGTTCGATTCCTGGTGAGGGCACATGCCCAGGATGTGGACTCGATCCCCAGTGTGGGGCATGCAGGAGGCAGCCAATCAATAATTCTCTCATTATTGATGTTTCTGTCTCTCTCTTCCTTCCAATCTAAAATCAATAAAATAAAATGAAAAGATGAGGAAATGCACAGTATTCACTGGAGCTTTTGTAACTAATCTCTGACACTGAAGTCTAGAGATCCTAACCTTTGAACTCAAGCAGACTGTGATTAGTGTCCCAGAGCTAAGGATGTGAATTATTGCAAATTTATATTCTTTTTATTTTAACTTTTTCTTTAAATCTTTATTGTTGAAAGTATTACATATGTCCTCCTTTTTTCCTGTTGACCCCTTCTAGCCGGCCCCTACCTTCCTGCCCAGGCCTTCAGCTCACTATTGTCTGTGTCCATGGGTTATACATATATATGCATACAAGTTCTTTGCTTGATCTGTTCCCAGCCAACCATTCACTGTCTTTTAACTTCTTTTTGACATGATTTTAGATTTTAAAAAATTTTAGAGGACTATTACAATGAATTCCTCTATGCCTTCTCCCAAAGTCTTTAAATAACACCTTTTCACATTTGTTTTATCATGCATGTACATATGTACACACACATTCTTTTTTGAACCATTTCAAAGTAAGCTACAGACATAATGACCATTAAAAATTTAGTGTGTGTTTTCTAAAAATGATGGTATTCTGTTACATAAACATAGTACAATTACAAAATTAGGAAAATTATATTGATGGATTCTATTATCAAATCTTCAGATTTCATTCATATTTCCCCATTTGTCCCTATATCAAAAGAAAATCCTAACTCACATGTTACATTCAGTCTTTGATTTTCATGACATTGACATTATTAAAAAGATACATTTTAGAATGTCCCTCATTTTTTATTTTTCTCATGATTAGTTTCAGGTTATGCATTTTTCACAAGATATTCCAGAGGTGATGTGTCCCTCTCAGTGCATAAGGTCAGAAGAAACATATTATTTGTGAAATATATTTGTAATTAATAAGTATCATATAGTACAATACTTTTGGGTTCAGGTAGATATCTTAGTCCCATCAATGTTTCACTCACTAGTTTTATAAATAATTTATGATTTTTCCTTTAATGAATGAATACTGTGATGCTTGCCAAATGGTGATTTTCTTTCTAATTTCAACATCCTTTCATCATTTATTAGATGCACCAGAAGTAATCCAAGGAAGTTTTGCTTTTTCCAATTTATTTCTTTGTTATTAATTTAAATCATTTTGTATATATGTATAGAGTCCATGTTGCAACTTTCTTAACCTTCATGAGCCTTAGTTCATCCTCTGTAAAATGGCAATAGTAACATTGGCCACCTAGATTTGCTGTGTAGATTAAATAATATATGTAAAGTTTTCAAAATCATAAGCATAAAATAAATCAAAGCTATCAGTATTTGTAATGGTATTAATAAAATATTAGTCTGAATCTCTCTTTTCATATAATGAAAAGATTTAGGTGCCATCTATTTTTAGTCTTTTATGATCTTGGGCAAGGCACTTAACCGCTTTTGGTCTCATTTTCATTACCTGTAAGACAATGGAGTTAAGTTACATGATCTCTAAATGCAATTACAGTACTTACGTAAGAAACTAAGATTCTGTACCTATAAAACATTTGTATATAAGTCCCTTTTCTTCCAACAAGCTGGCAGATACATATATATATACATATATATCTTCCATAATTCTTAATGTTCTTCCTAAAATTTCAAAGAATATATGTGTTATCTCTGAATAAACTTTTTAAAATTTCATTTCATCATACTTTACATTTTAGTAATATTAGTTGGTCACAGTTCTTTTCCAACCTTGCATGATTTTTGACAAAATGTAAAATAGCTAAAGACAGATGGCTTGCAACTCCAACTGTTGGGATTGGTTTTCCTCTGCCAGCAATGTCCATGCTCCCTTAATGAACTGTGGCCTCAGACCACATGATGATTCTGATTTACATAATCAAAAATAATTCAAACTTTTAAAATGTACTTTTAAAATATATATCACATCGTGAAGTATGACCAGGAGATAGCTTGGAATTTTGTTATAGGTAGTATTGCACAAGACTTTGCATATTGTGGAAATGAAGAATTTATCAAAGGAAAGCTAGTAAATATATTACTCTCATTATTAAACATTTCCCATAGAGAGATTGTCCAAATTAGTGAAAAAGGCCCTGGGCATGAAATTTGAATATCAGAGCTTAAATCTTATTTCTTATTAGTCCTGTGAGCTGGGTTAAGTTATTTAAGTTCTCTGAGTTTGAATTTCTTCTTATGTCAAACTGGAATAACATGACACATCTCATAGAGATATTTTGAGAATAAATAAGTCCATTTTAGTGAAAGCACCTATCATATAAAGGGTGCTTAATATGTTTTCAATAAATAAGAAAAAAGTAGGATAAATAAGATCCAGGATGTCCAGAACACCCATCTTTAGCACTGTCTACAAACTCTTGAAAATGTGGCAACATCTTTGACTTTTGGTCATCACCAACTCATTGAGAGTCAAATATCTTTAGTTTTCTCTTTAAATTGTTTCCCTAATCCATTATTTTTAAAAAGGGATCACCTTGAATATAAGCACATAGGCAAGAAATATTAATTCTCAATTTTCACAATGCTTTATAGTTTACAAAGTTCTATTCTTCATAGATTATTATCAAAACAACTAGAGGCCCAGTGCACAAAATTGTGCACTGATAGGGTCCCTACCGGCTGCTGGCCAGGGCCTCCTGCCCTTCCCCCGGCCAGCCCCGCCCCCTGGTTGAACTCCCAGATGAACTCCCGGTGAAGGGGACAATTTGCATACTACACTTTTATTATATAGGATTGTGTAACAATGAAAGAAGAAAATAATTGATTTTCAAAAGTTATATAACTATGTTGGTTTTAAACCCAAGACCTTTGACTTTGAATCCAACATTCATTTCACTGCATGCATCGGACATGCTGTGTGACTATCGGTATAATCACTGAAAAGTATGAGCAGTAGGACAATTCACTTTCTCCAATCCTGAAAGAAGGAAGGCAAAGATCAAAAAAATGTGAGCACCCATCCATTTGGAACTGCTAAGGGGAGAGAACAATCATCACTTGAGAGTCCTTTGGCTTCTCCCTGCTGGAGAAATGGGACCTATTCAAATACCAGTCAGACAAGAGGAGCAGCCAAGCCTTGGTAATCACCACATGATAATTGGATTTTCTGGGTTAAAATGTTTTTATGCACATCTTTACACAAATTAATCATCAATATTCTAAATCAGGGGTTCTCAATCTGAGCCTATTTTGTCCCCAGGGGACATTTCACAATGTCTGTAGTTACTTTTGTTAGGATTGGGTGGGAGTTGGGGGTTGCTACGGATACTACGAAATATCCTACAATGTACAAGACAGTTCCTCAAACAAAGAATTATCCAGCCAAAGTGTCAATAGTGCTAAGGATGAGAAACTCTGCTCTAAAATGTATTCTGTTACTAAGTATTGCAAACGATATTTCCAGTTGGCATACCTATGCTATTTGGTTACAAAGAACTCCCACCAAAACTGTCCATGGCCCAAGAGCCTCAGGTGCTTAACATTTGCAAGATTTCTTGTGGGTTCAATTTAGTTCACCAAAAACTTTAATATTTGCCTACTGTGCTTGAAGCACTAAAAAAAAAGAGAGAAATATGTAAATAATTATAACATGTTCTATACCCATCAGGAACTTATAATTCATTAAATGTGGCAACTTCCTAGAGAATAAAAACTATGTACTTTCAGTACCTACATAAGAGGTCTTAATAAATATTTTTAAATAAAGAAGTAAAGCCTATCAGTAATTTTTCAAAAGCTTCTCAATTTTCTTCAAGTCCCACACCCAACTTCACCTCCTCACCTTTGTTTAAGGACTTGCTTATACTTGATAGAGAAATTTGAGGCCATCTGTATTAATCACCTTAGGCTCTGATCATTTGTATTTGTACCTTTAATCCCTTCCCCTTTCAAGTCTGGAAGAATGAGGTGTTTCTCATGCTACCCAAGCCAACTCTTCTGCTCCATTTATTTCCTTAGCTCCCTCCCACTATTTCATCATCTTCAAGATGATCAATAAAGTAATACATAATTTATGCAAAAGACAAGATTCAGAGGTCCATGAATGTAGTTCTTATATCCCCTCTCCAGTTCAAGTCTCTCCCATCCTGAAACATAATATCCTTTTAACCTATATCAACCTTTATTTGTTCCTTCTTGTTTGAGCCTATTTCTTTTTTCACTTTTTATTTTCCATTTCCTTAACATTCAGATATCTGATTCTGCCTCTACAACTCACTGACATTGCTCTTAAAGATGATGATCTCCATGTTGCAAAATTCAAAGAACTAGTGATTACTATACATTTTGAAGCATATGCCCTTTTCTACAAAAATGACAACATACACTCAGGCACAAACATTTTTCATATTTTCAAAGGATTGACTAACACATCCATTGACCCCCAGTTAGAAAGCACTGCAGTTAACAGAATTTAGTCCTCACTGGAGAGCGCTGGGGCCTTGAACACTGTTTTATCTCCAATGGATGCCTGGGGCCAGGGAGAAGGAGACATTCTGCCATTAGTTCTTTTTTTCCCCTTTTTTCTTTTAATGTATCTTTATTGTTGAAAGTATTACAAATGTCCCCTTTGTTGTTTTTCCCATTGACCTCCCTCCAGCCCGGATCTACCCTTCCCAGGCCTTCACTATACTATTGTCTGTGTCCACAGGCTATGAATAT